TGGGCTGGCTGTTGGACCAGGTGATCCCAGAAGTCTTTTCCAACCTTAATGATTCTGTGATGCTGTAATGCCACTTCACAGTGCAGGAATGAAGTTTCAGTGTGTGTGTGTGCCTGTGATGCGCAAACCCCCTTGAGAGCCACAAGTATTGGCATCTAGATCTGTTCTGAATATGTGTTTTTTGAATAAATGCAGCAAGTAGGAAGGGATGATCTCATGGCTCCAAGCAGTATGTTCCTTGGGCTTCCAGTGCTTAGCTCTGTGCATTCTTATTGCTTTCAGCAGTCTGTTTTGCAGTTGGGGTCCTTGTTTCCCTTTTATAGAAGGCATAAAGGGGCAGCTGAGTGGGAGCCCACCAAGCTTATTGTGCTTGACCATCAGACAGTGCTTGTACCCCAGTCCTCAGGGGGAAAGATGACTGGCATGGATCAACCAATTAATTTTAGCTGCCTTATTATTGGATGTTGCTTTGTTGGCTCCAGGGTGATCCCAAGACAACAAAGACCTCAAGTGTTAACAAATGTCATCTTGTTCTCAGTGGTATTCTGGAAGCTCTTGAAACTCTGTATTAGATATTCAGTTCAGATGGGTTGGGGGCAGGCAGATCTCCTGTGGACCTGTGATTCTTGTTGCCTGAACTTGTCCATTAGAAATTGGGTGTTTTCTTTTGCCAAACAGGAACAAAGGTAGATAAACTTCAAGCAAGAGAGAGGAGATGCTTCAGACTGATGGGAATCCCCAGTCCTCTGGCATAGCCTCAGAGCAGTTGTACCAGCAGGGGGGCAGGAGGCAACGCAGGGCAGGGCACAGTGTTTGAGTAGGGGCTTACCCGTTCTCTCCTTTCTGCAAAGGGCTCTTCTGTGGCAGATATTTCTGAGGGTTCCTAAGGTGGAGGCCAGAATGGATTAGAAAATGATGCTGTTTCACTGAGAAGAGATGGGATGAATGTAGCACACCTCTATGGCAGGTTGGATATTGGGAAAGATTACTTCTCAGGAGTGGTGTTGCAGTGGCACAGGCTGCCCAGGGAAGTGGTGCAGTCACTGTCCCTGGAGGTGTTCCAGAGCCATGTGGATGTGGCACTGAGGGACGTGGTCAGTGGGCATGGTGGGGATGGGCTGGCTGTTGGACCAGGTGATCTGTGAGGTCTTTTCCAACCTTAATGATTCTGTGATTCTAAAGGTCTGTGCTATATCCTTTCATCTGTGACAAGAAATTTCCACCCTGTGGCACAGTGGAAACCGGGTGAATGCGAAAGTTGAATTAAGTTTGATTGATTTACAGAGGGCTGAAGACGAGATGCACGTAGCTAAAACTCAGAGCTTTGCCATGGTGAAGGGATAAGGAGGTCACCGTGTTTTGACCCAGAATTGCGCTGTGGAATCTCAGGTTTGTAATAGAGGGAGAAAAAAAAATCCAAGACTTTCCCCGGTTGTGCAGTATGGGCTGCAAACCTGTAGCGTCTTCAAAAGTGAGTTAGTGGAGAGGATGAAATAACTCAGGAGAACATGGACTCTGAGTCAGAGCCCCATGGGGCCGTGTGGGGCCTGGCTGCCTCCCAGAGGACCACACAGCGGGCTGCCCGCTGGGGCTCTCTGCATCTCAGCAGAGCAGTGAGGCAGCAGCTTGCTCGGGCTTTTCACAGCAAAGGAGGGAGCTGGGCTGTGAGGCGTGCTCCTGCTGCCCTTTGGCTGAACAGGAGGAAGGGAGGGAGGCAGAGGTGTGTTTGCAGCCATCAGATTGGGAAGCAGCATGGAGCAGCACAGCAACGCAAGGCCGTGAAGAATCACCACTAGGCGTATATATCTAAGTGTAAGTTATAATGGGATACAAATGCAAAGGAGGGCAAACAGGGATGAAAGGTGTTACTGCGCTGTCTTTTCTGCCGGAAAAGCCTGGGGAGCCTCTTGAGGGCCTGGGGTTAAGAAGAAGGGCAGCTCAGCTCAGCACTCTGCTCTGGCTGAGGAACCGTGCCTGGTGCTTGGCATCTCTGTGTAGCATGTTGGGGAAATCTGGGTGTCTGGGGTCCGGCTGCTCTGTGAGGCACCAGCAGTGGGCCCTTCTGGACTCTATAGGGAAGGAATGCTGCCAGCCGCGGGCAGCTCAGGTGCGGAGGTAGTAAGGGCCAGATGCTCACTGAAGATAAATGGGAAGGTGTGGAAATGGGGAAATAAGCGAGCTGGGAAGGAGCCCGGCGCCCTCCGGTTTTTATCACGAACGAAACGCAGCTCCCGGCGCTGCTACTGCTTCCGGTTCAGCACCCGGGCCGCGCACCCCCTCCGCTCCCCTTTGTGCGGGGCTGACAGCTCGGCACCCCGCGCCGGGACGCGCCCCTCCGCCCCGCGGCGTCCGGCCCGGAGTAGCGCCGCTCCGCCGGGCAGGGGATGGCCGGAGCTCCCGGAGCCGCGGAACCCCTTTCGGAGCCGGGCCGGGCGGGGCGAGGCGGGCGGGGCGGGGGCGGGCCTGGCTCGCATTAATTACCTTCGGCATTCGGGGGCGGTGCTTCCCGCAGCCATCTGGATGAGCCGGGGGGGGG